CTGAGAGTGGCGCTGGGGGTGGGCCCGCCCCCCCCACGGCAAAGTGCCACTTTCAGAGGCTTCCCCGGGGGCAGGGGGAAAGCACAATTTTTTATTTCCAGCTCTTTTTTCCGTGCTGGGCAAGCCCAGGGAAAGCTTCTAAGACCCAGTGCCTCCCTGCTGGGTCTGGGCTCTCAGCTGTCTGGCACTCTTTTTCTGGGCTTTTCAGGGCTACCAAGGCACTGTGAGGAGCCGGGCTCAGTCTACAGTACCTGGTAAGTGACTTTCTTTTAATTTTTTTGTTGTTTTGGACTTTTTCCCCATAGGAACGCATTAATTAAATTTCAATGCATTCCTATGGGAAACCATGCCTCGCAAGACGAACTTTTCACTAGACGGCATTAACCTTGGAACGGATTAATTTCGTCTTGTGAGGCACCACTGTATTCAGTGTCAATACTATGTTTAAACAACTTCTTTTCAACCGTCTCCTCAGAAGATTTTCCACTTCCCTGAAAAGGTAAAGGTAAAGGTTCCCCTTGACAATTTTTGTCCAGTCGTGTTTGACTCTAGGGGGCGGTGCTCACCCTGTTTCCAAGCCATAGAGCCAGCGTTTTGTCTGAAGACAATCTTCTGTAGTCACATGGCCAGTGCGACTTAGACACGGAACGCTGTTTACCTTCCCACCGAGGTGGTCCCTATTAATCTACTCGCATTTGCATGCTTTCTAACCGCTAGGTTGGCGGGAGCTGGGACAAGTGACGGGTGCTCACTCCGTCACGTGGATTCGATCTTACGACTGCTTGGTCTTCTGACCCTGCAGCACAGGCTTCTGCGGTTTAGCCCACAGTACCACCACGTCCCTTTTTTTATTCCCTGAAAAGCTGCATCCATTTCTTGAGAGTTCTGATCTGGCCACAGTGGTCCATGCCTTAGTTACATGCTGGCTGGATTACTGTAATGAGCTCTACATGGGGCTGCCTCAGGATAGTGTCCAGAAACTTCAGCAGGTCCAAAATGCCAGATCGCTAACTGGAGCTAGAGATCACATAACGCCTTGGTCACAGCAACTCCACTAGTTGTCGATCCAGTGCTGGTTCTGACCTATAAAGCCCTAAATACCTTGTGTCCAAGCTATATCAAGGACTGTGTCTCCCATTATGAGCCTGCTCAGTATTAAAATCATCAGGAGAGGCCTTTCTCTCATCCCACCACCCTCACAGGTGTGTCTTATAGGGACACGGGAGAGGGCCTTCTCTGTTGCTGCTCCCAGACTGTGGAACTCCCTCCCACAGGAGGCATGACTGGCCCCATCTTTGCTGTCCTTCAACAAGCAGGCAAAGTCCTTTCTCTTCAGGCAGACTTTTCCTGACTGGCTGCCTGAGTCAGGTTTTTAAATGGTTGTACTATTGCCTTGCATGTGTTTTGGTGTTGCTTTTGTTTACCATTTTTAGTGTGGTATTTCTTTGCTCTTTTTTAGTATTTGTATCCTTTCTATTTTTAGCTTCAAATGTTGTCTTTTAATGATGTAAACCACTTATGATCCTTTTAAAGGAAAAAGGTGAGGTAAATTTATTTTAAATAAAATAAATAAAATAAAATATAGTTTTAGCCAATATGTACCACTTAACAGTAATATTCTGCTTTGCATAATGGAACTAACAGATGAGATAATATATCCTCTTTAACAGCAGCACAAATATGCATTTCTAACAACTGGGAAACAAGTCTCTCAAGCAAATACAGAATGGTTAAACAGGAGGAAAGTTTAAGTATGAGACATGACATATACAATAAAGCTGATTATTTTTCATTATACAGTGGTGTCTCAACTTATGACCATAATCCATTCCAGAAGATGCATGTATCTCGAAATGGTCATAGATCAAAGCACCATTTCCCATAGGAATGCATTGAAATGCAATTAATCCGTTCCAGCCGAAGAAAAAAAATCACACACACACACACATACACACACAAATTACTGCAAGACTCATTGGAAACGCAATTAATCCCTTCCGGCTGAAGGGCGGGGAGAGAAAAGCAACCAAGTGTGCAAGACCCATTGGAAATGCACAGAAAATAAACAGAGCAGATCAGAAATGCACAGAGAACAAATGGGGCAGATCGGAAATGCAAAGGAAACAAAGGAAAAAGCAAAGGAAAAACCCAACCCCTCAAGACCCATCGGAAATGGGGGGAAGAAAAAAAAAAACCAAACAAACCCAAGACCCAATGGAAATGGGGGAAAACCCCCAAAAAGCAACCAAACCCCCAAGACCCATTGGTAATGGGGAAAAAAACAAAACAAAAAAACCCCAAGACCCATCGGAAATGGGAAAAAACACTCCCCAAAACAACAACAAAAACCAAGACCCATCGGAAATGGGGGGGGGGACAAAACAAAACAAAACAAAACCCTAAGACCCATCACAGCACAGAAACATAACCCCCCCAGCTGAAAACTACGCTGCAAAAACACTCAGAACAGTTTTTAAAAAGCAGGAAACAGCACCTTACCTTACCAGGCAGCCTGAAGCCTCCCTGCAAACACACACACATGCTTACTCAGAACCAGAAGCGAGGCAGTTCCGAAGCCTCCTCCAACACACACTCTCTAACAGCTGGGGTGAAAGAGCTAAAAGGAAGCAGCCTCGTCACCACCTACAGTTAGAAATTTGAATTTCCCACCTTTTCCCCCTGCCTTTTTCTGTTTGTAAGTGGAAGCTCCAGTCGCAAGTAGAAGCAAAATTTTGCGGCCGGAGCTGGTAGTAATTCGAAATGGTCGTAAGTAGGGACGTTTTAAGTTGAGGCATTGTAGACAAGAAAACCAGTTTTTTAAAAATGGTCTCTGCATAAACTCATGGAAAGATAAGGTCCAGGATAAAAATTAACCCATCCAAGTTTCTCAAAGTAATACTATGCATATCAAAATACAAAACAAAAAAACAGCAAAAACAAAGAATAAAACAGGATAATGGATGGAAGCAAGAAGAGATATAATGAGTGACCTCTTAGATGTGGGGTTAGAGCATAAAGTAATTTTGTTTTGTCTTTCGTTTGCAAATTAAAATATAGTGCACCTTTACTCTAACTTCTGTTTACAACATTTTTTATGCTGATGAAAACAGTTGGAAAACTAACATTTGTCAATCATAGGCTGCAATTGGATGACTTCTGACCTGGGAGAAGGGACTATTTGTGCTTACTCCAGATGCATACATATAGCACTTTCCCATTATTTAGCATATGTAATCATTACTGTAATCCAAATATACCAAGAAAACTAACCTTTTTCTGATTGTGGCTGGCCACTGAAAACATATTGGCTCTTAAATGCAGTCTTTGGAGCCAGCTTCTGGAGCATAGTAACAAAGTCTACTTTTGTAAACGCTTTTACTTCACTCACCAGGGCTTTGTTACACAGGTTTTTATCATCCCTGGGAAAAGAAAGTTCCTTTTTATTTTGCATTAATAGGATGATAAATACAACAGGATAATTATTCCTTTCTCTGTGGCAAAACAGAGCCAATATCTAATTTGAACACTCTTTTTAGGCCTGTTTGAAGCCGTTTTAAAACAGAATTTTCACCAAACTAGCACTTACTACTAACCTACTGTCCAAAGATGTACACGTCTTTATGATCTACCAGAGCACAACTGCTTTCCAGAAGCAGGACACCTTTTCAGCTGAAGATTCTCAAAACTCCTACACAGTCAAAATACATAGCCAACATCTGCTTTAAAAAACTTTAATATGAATGTTTCGCGGTTTTTTAAAAACAGATATATATTGTGCCTTGATATTATACAAGACTGCACCACCTGTTTTTAAAAAAGTCTGCCAAATTTCTGAACTGGTATCATGAAAGGTCTCAATTAAGTAGAAAGACAATATGGAAATCAATGGCTGAAATCCTGTTGCGCAGCTCTGCCTCTGCAATGGCAGCAGCAGCATATCACTACTTCTCTGGTGACGTCAGGCTGCACCCATGATCTGCACTGCATTCTGTACAAGTTGCATTCAATCAGAAACAGCGAAAGAATACCGAAATACGAAATCAAATTGATTATATTCTCTGCAGCCAAATATGGAGAAGCTCTATACAGTCAGCAAAAACAAGACTTGGAGCCGATTGTGGCTCTGATCATCAGTTTCTTATAGCAAAATTCAAGCTTAAACTGAAGAACAAAGGAAAAACCACGGGGCTAGTGGGGTATAATCTAAACCAAATCCCTTATGAATACACAGTGGAAGTGAAGAACAGATTTCAGGAACTCGATTTGGTAGACAGAACGCCTGAGGAACTTTGGATGGAGGCTTGTAACATCATATAGGAGGCAGCAACAAAAACCATGATGCTGGAAGATGGGACCCTCAGGTCGGAAGGCGTCCAAAATATTCCCAAAGAAAAGGAAATGCAAGAAAGCAAAGTGACTGTCCAATGAGGCCTTACAAATAGTAGAGAAGAGAAAGGAGACAAAATGCAAGGGAGATAGGGAAAGTTACAGAAAATTGAATGCAGACTTCCAAAGAATAGCAAGGAGAGACAAGAGGGCTTTCTTAAATGGACAGTGCAAAGATATAGAAGAAAATAATAGAAAGGGAAAAATCAGAGATCTGTTCAAGAAAATTTGAAAAATTAAAGGAACATGTCCAAAGATGGACATGATAAAGGACAAAAACGGTAGGGACATAACAGAAGCAGAAGACATCAAGAAGAAGTAGCAAGAATACACAGAGGAATTATAACAGAAAGATCTGGATGTCCCAGACAACCCAGATAGTGTGGTTGCTGACCTTGAGCCAGACATCCTGGAGAGTGAAGTCAAGTGTGCCTTAGAAAGCATGGCTAACAACAAGGTCAGTGGAGGTGATGGCATTCCAGTTGAACTATTTAAAATCTTAAAAGATGATGTTGTTAAGCCACTACATTCAATATGCCAGCAATTTCGGAAAACTCAGGAGTGGCCAGAGGATTGGAAAAGATCAGTCTACAATACATCCCAATCCCAAAGAAGGGCAGTGCCAAAGAATGCTCCAATTACTGTACAATTGCACTCATTTCGCATACTAGCAAGGTTATGCTCAAAATCCTACATGGTAGGCTTCAGCAGTATGTGGACCGAGAACTCCCAGAAATACAAACTGGATTTCGAAGGGGCAGAGGAACTAGAGACCAAACTGCTAACATGCGCTGGATTCTGCTTCATTGACTATGCAAAAGGCTTTGATTATTTAACTTATATGCAGAATACATCATGCGAAAGTCTGGACTGGAGGAATCCCAAACTGGAATTAAGATTGCCAGAAGAAATATCAACAGATATGCAGATGATACCACTCTGATGGCAGAAAGGGAGGAAGAACTGAAGAACCTTGTAATGAGGGTAAAAGAGGAGAGCACAAAAATGGTCTGAAGCTCAACGTCAAAAAAACTAAGATCATGGCCACTGACCCCATTACCTCCTGGCAAATAGAATGGGAAAATATGGAGGCAGCGACAGATTTTACCTTCTTCAGCTCCACGATCACTGCGGACGGTGACAGCAGCCACGAAATAAAAAGACCCTTGCTTCTTGGGAGGAAAGCAATGACAAACCTAGAGATCATCTTTAAAAAGAGATGTTACTTACCTGTAACTCTGGTTCTTTGAGTGGTCATCTGTGAATTCACACTAATGGGTTTAATCTGCTCATGCAGAGGTCTCCAGAATATTCTGAGCTTTATGATACATTTGTTAAAGACCGCCCCCCTAGCCCACGTAGTCTGCCCGTCTTGGTAATTACCTCAGTTCCGAAGTATATCCCACTGCTGTATCAAGAGATACAGGAGTGATGGACAGAGGGGAGGACGGACGGGAAGTGTGAATTCACAGATGACCACTCGAAGAACTTGAGTTACAGGTAAGTAACCTCTCTTTCTTCTTCGTGGTCTCTGTGAATGCACACTAATGCATGATTAACAAGCTAACTTACCAGAAGAGGGACATCACGGAAGAACAGAAGAAAGTACAGCTTTCCCAAACGATGCATCCTTTTTGGCTCTCAGATCAAGGCGATAGTGGGTGGCAAATGTAGATGCTGTTGCCCATGTGCCAGCTTTACAAATGTCCAGGAGTGGTACTCCACGAAGAAAGGCTGCAGAAGTAGCCAAAACTCTGGTAGAATCGAGTCTTAATACCAGCAGGTAGAGGCTGTTTGGCGAGTTGGTATGCTAACCTTATAGTAGAAACAATCCAATGGGATATAGATTGAGAAGAAACATGGGAACCTCTGTGAGGGAGGTGTGGTGTCACAAAAAGTCATTTTGATTTGCGGAATGAAGAGGTCCATGAGACATAGAAAGCAAGTGCACGTCTAACATCCAACATGTGTAGAGACCGTTCTAGGTCACTCGTAGGTGATGGAAAAAAGGTAGGTAAGACAATAGGTTGTGAGAAGTGAAAATGCAACTCAACCTTTGATAGAAAGGAAACATCAGGGAAGAGGGTGACTTTGTCTGGATGAAATTGAAGAAATAAAGGATCGACCCTGAGGGCAGCAAGTTCTGAAGCTCTACGAGCACAAGTAATGGTGACAAGGAAGAGTGTCTTGAGGGAAAGGGGGTGCTCAAAGACGGTAGCAAGTGGCTCAAATGGAGCATGTGTAAGCCAGTGAA